ACAGCTGATCAGCTGTTTGTCGGCTCAGCGTGGCAGCCATGTAAATTTAAATGAAGCCGCGATTATTTTAATCGCGGCTTCATTTCCCTTTGCCTACAGCCCTCATCTACATGGCTCCATTGATGCATCCGAGCCAAAGAGCAGGGCGAGCTGAGTCTCCCCCAGCCAGAAGCTTTGTGGACGGAGCCCTTGGGGAGCTAGAGCTCTGCCGGGTCCTTCCTCTCCAAGTCCTAGTGACCTGCCATGTGGCAGCTGCAGTCTGAGCCCTGCCTGTGGGTCTCAGCGTCAGACCTGCAAGTCCTCACTAGAGCTCCCTGGCTGAGCAGTGTGTTCCTGTCCTGCCCTGGGATGGTGGGGGAGATGGAACGGGCCATGAGGGAGACTGAATTGTACCCTAGAGAGTGCAGCAGAGAGCTCAGCTCCCCCAGCGAATCAGCGGGGTCATTCCTGAGTCAGGGGGGGATGCACCTTTACTGCAGGTGGGTGTATGGTGGGATCTTGTACCATTCAGAGCCCCGTCTCTGCAAGGTGGGGAAGGAGCCTTTCTGGGTGGGCGACTTAGGTTTTAGCTCTGGCAGTAGTAATGGCACAGAAGTTAATGAACAAGATCAGCACTTGGTTAATTGCTCCCCTGAGCAGGATTTCCAGTCTCCAAAGCTCATGGGATCTCCTGGGTGGAGCGAGGGGAGGAGCTGCAGATCCCAGATCTCCATGGCTGTGAGGAAGGGCAGATCATCAGCGACACCCACACGGGTGAGTAATCAGTTAAACAGACTCAGAAACCAATGTCTGTGTCCTCATAGCAGGTGGCACATGGGCATTTTTGTCAAGTCTAACTGCCCTTTCAGCCTGTCTTCAAATCCAGTCAGAGTGGGGGCGGGGAAAGGCTGGGTCCTCGTTTTGGGAAAAGGATGTGAGGAAGGAGGATGAATTCAGCTCATGATTATTCAACCTTTCCAGCCATTATTTGGCTGTGTTCCCTATTTTCTCTTCCCCTTTCAGAGTTTTCCTTTCAGCCCAGCATAGAGAATGACACTTGTCTGGATTCTTTGTCTATCCCAGCAGGTGATGGGACACTGACTAAGAACCATGAGAAGAGTCTTCACTCTGAAGGGCATGTTTCTCAGAAACCTGAGCAAGGAGAAACCTGTGAGAGTCAATGTAGCCTAGAAAAGCAGCAGCAAAACCATGCAGGGGCAGGACAGAGTAAATCCAGTCACAGGAGCAGAGGAGTGAAAAGAAACAACGAAACTGTTCAACAGAAAATCCCCCATCAAGAGGCACCCTACACTTGCAGTGACTGTGGGAAAGTCTTCCAATGGAGACAGGCTCTGATTGTACACCAGAGAATCCACACAGGAGAGAAGCCGTTCATCTGCTCTGACTGTGGGAAAAGCTTCTGTCATAGTTCAAACCTGATTACACATAAGAGAATCCACACTGGAGAGAAACCTTTCAACTGCTCTGACTGTGGGAAAAACTTCAGTCAGAGGACAGACTTTGTTAGGCACAGGAGAATTCACACAGGAGAGAAGCCGTACAACTGCTCTGACTGTGGGAAACACTTCAGTCAGAACAGATACCTGATAGCACATCAGAGAATCCACACAGGAGAAAAACCCTTTGATTGCTCTGAGTGTGGAAAAAGCTTCAGACAGAGGTCAGATCTTGTTCGGCATAGGAGAACCCACACAGGAGAGAAACCCTTCACATGCTCTGACTGTGGGAAAAGCTTCAGTGGGAATGGATACCTGGTTATACATCAAAGAACCCACACAGGAGAGAAACCCTTTGACTGTTCTGATTGTGGGAAAAGCTTCACTCTGAATGCACACCTGGTTATACATCAGAGAACCCACACTGGGGAGAAACCCTTTTGCTGCTCTGACTGTGGGAAAAGCTTCACTGGGCGCTCAGATCTTGTTAGTCATCAGAGAACCCACACAGGGGAGAAACCGTACAACTGCTCTCACTGTGGGAAACGCTTCTGTCAGCGTGCAAACTTAATTAAACATCAAAGAATCCACACAGGGGAGAAACCTTTTAACTGCTCTGACTGTGGGAAAAGCTTCAGTCAGCACTCACATCTTATTAATCATCAGAGAACTCACACAGGGGAGAAACCCTACAACTGCTCTGACTGTGGCAAAAGTTTCAGTCAGAACGCACACCTGATTAAACATCAGCAGGTTCACACAGGGGAGAAACCCTTCAACTCGTCTGTCTGTGGCCAAGCCATCAGGCAGAACAAAACCCTCACTGAACATCGAAGAACCAACACAGGAGAAAACCCTATGACCTGAGTTCCTTTTTAAGTTGCATGGCCATGTGGCCAGGTAGCAGCCTATTAATTGTTACACCAGCACTTAGGGCTGTGACATGGAGAGATGCCTCTCTCCACTGGTCTCAACCCCAGCCCAGAGCTGCCATGGCCAGGGGACTGTCAGCTGTCCCATGCCCCCTGCTTCAGAGCTGCCATGGCAGAGAGAGATGCCCCTCTCCCATCTCCCATTCACAGCAGCACCTGGGCTGGGGAAGAGAGAGCTGCTGGGAGTCTTCTCTCCCTACTTTAGACTGTCAATGGTCTGCACCTCAACCCCCTTATGATTGGCCATTCAAGGTCCCACACTCCCAACTGGAGCCCTCACACCCATAGGCTATGTTTATACTCGCAGCTTCTTGTGGCAGAAATATGCAAATGAGGCTGTGTGGAATATCGCCGAGCCTCATTTGCATTCTTAATGAGCCACCATTTTTTTTCAGAAGAGGCTCTTGCGCAAGAAGGAGCGTCTACACTGCCCCTTCTTGCGCAAGAAAAACCCTCTTGCGCAATGCCGTTACACCTATTACTTTTCAGGACTACATTGCAGGAAGTCAAAGGAAAAGCATTCTTCCTTCGATTTCCCTTACTCCTCATGAAATGAGGGTTATTGGCAGTGACAAGTGCCCGCTCAGTTCAAATTAATTGTCTTAGGGTGTGTCTACATTGCATTCCTCCTTTGAGAGAGGAATACAAATGCAGACAAGCGAAATTGCAAATGAAGTGCGGATTTGAATTTCCCATGCTTCATTTGTATAATCATGGACTGTCGCTTTTCCAAAATAGCCTATTTCAAGAAAGCAAACACGGTCCACAGGGGATTATTTTGAAAAGAAACTCTTCCTTCGAAATAACCCTTAAACCTCATTTTTTATGGAGAAAGGGTTATTTCGAAGGAAGGGTTTCTTTTCGAAATAAACGCAGTGCATGCGGGGTTTTCTCGAAATACACTATTTTAGAAAAGCAGCCAGCTGCAATTATGCAAATGAAGCACAGGAAATTTAAATCTACGCTTCATTTGCAGTTTCACTTGTCTGCATTTGCATTCCTCTCCCGAAGGAGGGATGCAATGTAGTTAGTTAATGCCTATTACGCCCGCTGGCGTGTAGGGTTGCAATGAAGGTTCTCCATTTTTGTCTGTCTTTGGCCATTAATGCAATGTAGACATTCCCTTAATCTGTAATTCAAACCATAGAAGATTGACAGTGGCAGCTTCAATCTTCCTCTGTCGTGTAGATGTATCCACACAAAGCAGAAGTGTGCTGGTTAGGGATGGACCAAGAGAATACAATTCTCCCTACAAATCTCAGCGTCCGGTATGCCTGCATTGGCCATGTAGTGAGAACATGCACGATTATTAAAGTAGGGAATGAAACATCCGTCCAAAAATAGAGCCATGCAGAGCAACGGGCTGAGATAAGATTCTCACATTATGACGGGACTTGAATATGACTTGTTGGGAAATCTGAATGTTTTATGCTCAGTCACTTCATGTACATTTGATGTTACATACCTAAGCCCATCGTTTTCTTGTCTGCTGTGATTTCTCATTCACCTCTGCTATTTTTTTTGTGACACTGAGTACTGCAGATGCCCCTTTTTTTGTTTGTAGAATCTCAGAAAAGTGGCAGTGGGATCAGTAAAGACTGAATTATGTGACAATGTTCCTTATTAAATGCATGAGGAGGGATACGTGCCTTAGAATTGGATCTCTAAATCTCCGCACATTACATGGGGAGCCATTTAAATTAGCCAGTGTGGCATGACCCTTTTATGGAAATAGGTGCATAAGACTTCTTCCAACTCATGAATTGTAGAAGCGAAATGATTCTCTGACAGCAGGGATGTTTTCAGAGGCTGCCTAACTCTGCAATGTGGGAATCTTCTTTAGAACATTTTGGCTGGTGGTCAGGATACTCAGCCAGGATGTATAAGACCATTTCAAGTCCTCCCTCCTGTAATTAAGCCCAAGGCTGTGTCTACACTGGTGCGATCTTGCGCTAAAGCGGCCGCTCTTGCACAAAAACTTGATGCCTGTCTACACTGGCTGTATGTTCCTGCGCAAGTAAACTGACATTCTAATGTATAAAATCAGGGCTTCTTGCACCAGAATGCTGACACTCCCACTTAGGAAGAAGCCCTCTTGTGCAAGAGCTCTTCCAGAAATGGCCAGTGTAGACAGGCAACATGAATTTCTTGCGCAAGAAAGCCCTATGGTTAAAATGGTCATCAGAGCTTTCTTGCACAAGAGAGTGACTACACTGGCATAGATGCTCTTGCACAAAAGCACATGCCACTGTAGACGCTCTCTTCTGGAAGAGCTTTTGCAGAAGAACTCTTCCGCAAAAGAGTTTTTGCGAGAGAACGCGCCAGTGTAAGACCTAGCCCAAGGGTTTAGAACAGAGATCTGCCACCCCTCAGGCAAGTACCCAAGCCTCATAGCTATCAGCTAATCTGATGTGGGTTCCTCAATCTGTGCCAGTGAAGTCGTTCCACTGTGTATAAATCTCAAGAGTCGTTAGGGGTGGACAGAGAGGGAAATGCCCATATTTGACTGGTGTTTAGGGCACTGTGATGGGCTGGACTAGGCCCCAACACTCCCTACAGGAGGCCAGCAGCCTTACTGCACCACAGCAAGGCTATGTCTATACTTACGGCTTCTTGCGCAACTATGGCCATTCTTGCGCAAGAATCCACACAACGTCTACACTGCCCGCCCGCTCTTGCGCAAGGAAATTTACAGTACGGCATGGTAAGAGAGGGCTTCTTGCACAAGAGCTACGCTCTTTTTTAACAGGTGTAAGCCCTCTTGCGCAGGAGCTCTTGCTCAAAAGTGCAGTGTGGATGCTCGGCAGAGATGGTCGTTGGAGCTTTCTTGTGCAAGAGAGCATTCACACGGCTATGGGAGCTCTTGCGCAAAAGCACAGTGTGCACATGGCAGTATAGACGTTTTCTTGCACAAGACTTCTTGCACAAGAACCCTTGCGCAAGATGTTCATGTGCAAGAAGCCGCGAGTGTAGACATAGCCTAAGAGGAGTGGAGAAGAGGTCCTCCAGGCACTATAGAGTGGCTATCTCTGCAGCAGCCAATCAGGACCCAGCAGAGGGGTATAAAAGGGGCTGCTTTCGAAAGAGCACTTTCGAAAAAAGGCGTTCTTCCTCGTGAAATGAGGAGTACCACCATCGAAAGAAAAGCCGCGTTCTTTCGATTTAATTTCGAAAGAACGCGGCTGTAGTCTAGACGCAGGTGAAGTTTTTTCAAAAAAAGGCTACTTTTTTCGAAAAAAACCTGCAGTCTAGACACAGCCACAGCACCTGCAAGAGGCTCAGTTACACGGAGCTTGGCAGCTGCTTTGTGCACCACGTGTGAGCAGGAAAATCACTTTGAACTAACGCCTGCAAGCAGGCCATGTGAATGCCCCTGCCCAGCGCAGCCAGACCCATGGAGAAATGCCCTTGGGCCCGGGGCAATACTTCCTTGCACTCTTCCCATGGACACTTGCTCAATGCCCTCCCCACCTTGTGGGACCCAGAGCCAGTAGCTAGCCTGAGCCGAGACCCGCGCACGGTGATTTTACAGCCCACGGCCCAGCCTCAGGAGCCCACGGCACTGTCTGCACTGCCCGTGGCACACCCAGGCCCCTGGCTAACAGCCTAGCTCAGCTGGCTCCGGCTTGTGGGCTGGGGCGGCAGGGCTAGGAAATGGCCGTGCAGCTCTACCGGCCTGAGCCCAGGCCCTGAGCCCTCCAGGGGGGAGGGGGACTCTGAGCCCAGGCTCCAGCCTGAGCCCAAATGTCTCCCTGCAGTTTGTAGCCCCACAGGATGAGCCCAGGCCCCCAAGGCAAAGAGCCCAGGCCAGGCGGCCATAGGGCCGTTAGCTCAGCGCAGGCCTGGTTAGAGCAGAGATTAGGGCTGCCAGATGGTTTCAACAAAAATACCGGACACACTTGATAAAAATTTGTCAACCAAAAAATATATATACATGCTATGGGAAGTTTATTGCCCGAGGATTCAGACAGGGCAGAAGGCAGCGAGGGAGGATCACTGTCAGCCGACGGTCAGGGAGGAAAGGTTTAACTTCTGTGACTTTACCACTAGGACCGGGGTCCCGTAGCGGAGGGCAGCCAACAGGCTGACACATGCCCCAGAGTTTATAGGAAGAGCTTATTACATCTCAGATTTCAGCTGCTAGGATACAGGATCCCTTCGCAGCAGACAGTCTAGGGAAGACTGAGAGATGCCCCAACGGATCTGCCACCTGGGAGTGGTACGATCCAAAACGCCCAAGCTCTTCCTATACCTGTCCCTTATGACCTGCTGAAGTTCTTTTAAATTGTGCTTGGTTCTGTTACAGCAACTGAAGGAGTCAGGTTAAAACTTAAACAGTTTCAGGTTTATTAAAGAAGCTTATAAATCATATGGTTACAGTGGCTATTGCTCTATTTCTTAACTGCTAGCAAATACAGATCTTAAAAATGGTTACAAAGAAAATAAAGATAGAAAATAGAAATAATGGTACCAAGTGACAGATTAATCTTTAAAGAGCTCTAAGTCTATGTGTACACTTAAGACAAAGGACCACATCCAGGTACAATTTTTACCCCCTTCTGTGCCTCTCGACTCCAGCGGGTCAAGCCAGGGCTGGTCCCTCAATTCCTAGGAAAGACGAATATGAGGTGGGTGTCCCCGTGGAACCTCAGGAGGTCAAACACCTAACCCGACCAGCAGATAGATGGTAGATTGACACTCAAAGTGAGTGTGCTGCTGGACCCATCTTTATACCCAATAGGGGCCCATATCCTCTTTCTTATCTAAAATGCCAAATTGTACTGGTCCGTCTTTATGACGCCAGTTCTTACAAACAAGTTTCAACTTAATTTACACTTGCAAGAGAGATAACTAAATTGTGAGTACTGGACATTTTTTTTACTGGGCGAGAGATTCCTCCCCCCGCGGATGGATGTGTGTTCGTATCAATATGGGTTTCAGTCAAGGGCACTCCTCGGCAGCCTCTTGGTCAGCAATTGGCATATCTCTGTTTACAGCCATTCACGGTCACAGCAGCAGCCTGCATATCCGGGCCTTCTGTTCAAGGCTTTTACTGCTCTGTGTGCCCTGTATGCTTCAGGCAAGCAAAAATGGGTGTGACGGGGGGTTCCTGTCTGGCTACAATCACTCAGGGGCAAATCATGCACCTGGTACCCAGCATGGCTAGGCTCGGTTCCCTGCTCTGGCCCCCCATTATAAGAGACACACTCGTGCGCTGTGTTTTACACTCGGCCTTAGGGAGCAACATCCGACGGTCCCTCCCCACGGGCTGTGCAGCGCCCGGGCGGTGGGATCCTGAGGATGCTCTCACCGACGGGAGGAGAGAGGTGACCTCACGTCCCTCGAGATCATCCTGTGGCTCTGTTTTGGGGGTTCACGCAT